CTGGGTCCCTGCTGGCACTGCCAGAGAGCACGGGAGGGGAGAGAAGAGGTGCCAGGACACAGATACACTCCGTGCTGCTCCCTACCTGTGTGCTCCTGTGCCCTCCTCCTGCTTCCCTCGGGCAGGATGCTGCCAGCAAGGATGGGAAAGGTGGCACGAGGACAGCTGGGCTGAGAGCCAGAGGGAGGTCAGGGCCAAGAGCCTGCTGGAGTGAAGGTCCAACCACGAAACGAGAGCCCTGCTGCAGCCTGAGCAGTCCCTGGTGCCCACACGACAAGTCCAGGCTCCCAGGCCCTCCACTCCATCCCTGCTCTCCACCCAGGTGGAAACAGCATTCCTGGCAAAACACACAGCTCCCAGCAAATGATTTCCCTGCCCTTGGTACCCCACATTTAGGGCATCATGACCTGCCACCTCATTTCTAAGCCACCACAGTCCTTAGTAAACAGGGCTGAGCTCTTCCTCACCATGGAGGAAGATGGCAATTCTGGAGAGTCCAAAAAAAAACCCAGCAAGAGGAAGGTCCTCCAGTCACAGAGCCACCTGAATGCAGCCTGAGCTGACTCTACACAGCCCTGCCATTCCAGAGGCTGGTTTATCATCCAAGCCAGGGGACAGGAGGGCTCTTGTGTTCTCCCCTGTCCCCCAGGTGCTGTGGAGGGGCTCTCTGTATCCAGCTGTGTCATGTACAAGGCAAGGCAAGATCATCAACCCCCCGTCCTGTGCTCACAGGGCAAGAGGAACACTGTGGGAACGTGGCACTGGGTAACCCCCACTGTGGTCAAACTGGGAAGTTCATTGCAGAGAAGCTGCTTCAGGTTCCTCCTCTCTCAGCATGTGCCACAGCCAGCAAGGGAAGCACAGCTTCCTCCTGGCCACGGCAGCAGCCACCACACAGACCCAGGGCCTTCTCCTCTCCCACTGGGATGTCTGGGTGCTGTGGCTCCCTCCAGGCAGCTACAGGCCTGCAGGGGCTGCCTAGCAGCATTCCTGCTGCCCACTCCTCCAAAAAGCAACAACCTGAGACGGGAGAACACCCCCTGCCAGCTGCAGGTCCCCCTCCCAGCCCAGCCCCTCCTTCCCTCACCTTGGCAATCCGCCTGGAGCCCGAGGGACACAAACACTAAAGAATCCACCCACCCTCCCCTCCCACGGGGAGATGTGGAGGAGACTGGGTGGTCCTTCCATGGGGCACCTCAGGCACCACAAGCCAGCAGGTCCTGGGGTCTCTGTGTGGAGTTGGTACAGGTGGCCCCACAGCCACCCCACAGCCACGCTGCTCCTCTCTCTCCGTGGGCTGGGGGCATCCTGGGTGTCCCAGCACTGCAAGTGCACCTTGCCAAGAGCAGAACAGGGAAGGAGAGAAGCAGAGAACAGAGAGGGGGTGAAAAAAAATCCAAGTCACATC